TGGTTACAAGGCCAAGCAGGGATATGTCGTCTACCGTATTCGTGTTCGTCGCGGGAACCGCAAGAAGCCTGTCCCCAAGGGTGCGCTCTAGAGTTCATGCTGGTGATGCACTGCTGATTCGAGGCAATCTACAGGTGCTACCTATGGCAAGCCTGTCCGCCAGGGTGTTAATCACCTCAAGTACCAGCGTGGTCTCAGGAGTACCGCGGAGGAGCGTGTGGGCAGGCGATGCGGAAACTTGCGGGTGTTGAACTCGTACTGGGTCAACCAGGATGGTGTTTACAAGTACTACGAGGTCATTCTTGTGGATCCCAACCACAAGGCCGTGAGTTTATATTCAATATATTCTGATCAACTATTCATAATGCGCTTCTCAGATTCGCCGCGATCCTAGAATCAACTGGATTGTCAACCCCGTCCACAAGCGTCGCGAGGCTCGTGGTCTCACCAGCATTGGCAAGCAGGTGTGTATTCCGTACTTGAATTCGATCTCTGTCCTGACTAACCTGGGATAACCAGAACCGTGGCTTGGGCAAAGGCCACCGTTACAACCACACCCCCGCCCGCTCCACCTGGAAGAAACACAACACACTCAGCCTCCGCAGATATCGTTGATCTTATCTTTCCTGCTCTTTTCTCATTGCCACACTTATGTCCTGCCGTCCATGCTACGTATGGTCTTAAGCATGCTCGCGAAAAATATGATCATATCCACGAATCACACTTTATTCGCACCATGCCCACAAGAAGCTTACCGAGTGTGCTTGTCCTGAAGGCTGTGTAGTGAGCGTTGTGCTTGAAAGTCGAATGAGCGGAGAACACGAGGCAATTGACACCGGGATGTCGGTCACCCTCCACGCCTGCCTCGGTCCTGCCACGCAGCAACCTGCACTGAGATAGACTGAGATAGACTGACATCGTCAACAATGGATAGCCAAGCCGATCTTCAATGAATAAGGCTCCATCATCAATTGGATGAGCATTTTCGAGTTCTTGGCCTCCTAAGCCCATCCCTCATACTATATAACAGCCACGAATCTTGCTCACTTGCTCAAAATTTCCGACCCCCCAGCTACGATGATCATGAACTCTCTCCCCCTCCCTCTTCTTTGCCTGTCTTTGAGTATCTCACAAAGTCTAGCTTTACCCGAGTTCTCCAGGGCCAGCTTTGCGTCACTCGCCCAAGGCATATGGCCAAGTTCACATCCGATCGCGTTGGAAAAACGGAGCTCTCTGAACTTCAATCCGGATGGTTCCCCATTCCTGTGGTTGCCTCAGGACGAATACTCTGGCAGGACTTTCTATGAGTACGCCTTCCGTTCTAACAACTTAGCACACTGACCATTCAACTTTCCTTTGTAGTCGATGGAGGTTTTTCAACTGGCCGGACCCGACGAAGTGCGTAGCACTGCCTTCTTCTGTTGCCTGGAGTTAAATTCTGACCTGCTTGGTGATCGATCCTCAGCGGGCATGTGAAGTGAGCAACGGCTCTGACCTTCTCTTGGCCATCGACTTATCGTCTTGCGACTTCTCGAATTCCCAGCTACATCAACAGAACTGCCGCGTTTGAGAAACGACTGGTTTACTTTGAAGACGATGGGACCGTCATCATGAAGGCAGACGATGTGACGCGTCTCGAAAGGGGTGTTTTCCGCGATAGGTACGTCGCTCATTGTAGAGTCGCGCATCGGAGGCTGAAGCAGAGCATCTATTAATAGCATACGTATTGAAAGTTTAACGACTTATAACACTGGCCTATTCGTTCTGGATTTAAATAGAGCTCCTTGGGGCTGTGGTACGATGTTCATTGTCCATTCCACCTGTCTGGCTTTTCCTAAGGTTTTGCGGCTTACTAGCGGTGTGGCCTGCTTTCTGGACTGTAGGAGGAAATTGGCCGCATGTACGTCGTTCAGTTCCTTTGCCATTCCCTGCATTGACCCGGACGCCTCAGTTAGGTGAAATCGACATTATCGAAGGAGTACATGACAACGAGCACAACCAAGTTGCTTGGCATACAGCGCCAGGTGGGCAGGGGGACTCCGACTTTTTGGTCTGGCTTACAAACAGAGGAATGCTACAGGTTGTTTGTTGAATACGAGCGTACCTTTTACCGGCACAGTTTCTGTTAGTTCCCAACTCGACGCTATTGCTCACTCGTTTCTGATGTCCTGTGTCCATGCTTCTCAGTCGTCCACCGGTCATCCGCATACAGATTGCAATGCGTTCATCAACCATAATTCTGGCTGTGGTATCACCGAGTGGAGCAGAGCCTCGTACGGACCTTTCTTTGACGTGCAAGGAGGTGGTGTTTTTGCAATGAAGTGGGATGAGAACGATATCTCCGTCTGTACGTATCCGTCTCTGCCCTCGTTTTCGGCCGAATTTCATCTCGCGTACCATCCAGGGTCGTTTTATCGCGCTGCTGTTCCGCGAGATATCGTCGATGGTACCCCAAATCCCTCTGAATGGGGTATTCCCTCCGCCAGACTACATTCTTCACAGTGTGACATCGGGAAATATTTTGCCAATCACTCCATCATATTTGGTTGGTTTTTCCTTCTTGCCTCTGTCACTTGATGTTGATTAGTTCTCACAGATATCACCTTCTGTGGCACGTTAAAATCAGCAGAACATCTTGTCATATCCTAATTGCATTCGTAGGGGACTGGGCTGGCAATTCGTATGCTACATCGGGATGTCCGGGTACCTGCGAAGAAAGGTTGATGGATCCCAAGAATTTCGAGGTTCGCATTTTCTCTTCGCTTCTCACAAGAAACGTGGTTTGAGCATATTTCTAGAACGCGTCCTGGAGCATTAATTCGCTGAAGGTTTACAGGAAGCAACTTGTCGCTGGCGACATTTCACCAGTCTCTGCCGCTGCGCCATCTGCCGTACTCAACCTTTCTGGAGGAGTAGCGCTACTTGCCACCTTTTTGGGCGCCCTTGCTTTATGACCTCGATTTTCACTGGAAAGGATAGTATTTAACGAAAATAAACGAACGCCACGACATACGCGATGAACGATTTCAGTAGACGGTCTCCAATTAGAGGTTTAGCTATTACAACTTCATTTTCCAGACCAGCTTCTCGCTGTCAAGGCCATCGTGAGTGTTTGGCTCACCGAAGCTCGCCCTTAAAGGCGTCACACTGATCCATCCTTGGCATATTGCCCATCCGTCGGATCCAACAGGAAGAATCTCCAGCGAAGGTGTAATGAGGCCCTTCATCTCAGGTGCCCACTTGAACAACAGATCCCCAGTTTCTTCGTCTTCTGGCCCTAGGCCGGAAGCCTGGGTTATATTACTATTACTGCTCGCTACATCCGGGCCAGGTGCCTTGACGGTGCGATCGCGTGAGTTGCTTCCGCTGGCGATGTTCTTAAAGAGTCGCCCGTAAGAATTGCGCCACATCTTCGTCCAGCATATTTTCAAGCCTTCTTCGGAGAGGATGTCTTCGATCAAGGGGATGTTGATGCTGTAGAGATCAACTTCGCCATCTCTCAGGCCGCACTCGTCTTCTCCCCAGTTATTCCACAGGTGATTGATGATACGGCACCCGGTTTCGTGAGCGGGCTCGAAGTATGTGGTGGGAGTTGGATGTACAACTGTTCCGTATGAAAGGGCGATAGACCGCATCTTTGACAAGGATGATGACATCGCGGCGCCAATGGTACCAGAAGACAGAGCAAAAGCCGCTGCCTAGACGTCAGGCTAAATGTTGGTGATGCCTTTTCAAAGGACGTACAGGAGGTATTGCGTCCCAAATTTGGGCCGGATATCTGGGGACATTGAGCGTTTGAATAAATATGAGAAAAGAAGTGGGCTACCACAAGGTCAATTTCATTTGGGTATAGATTGTGCAGAGCTACATTCGCGCAAGTTGCTGGAGTCTAGCCGGTCATTAGGCGTAATTTCTGCCGGATGATCAAATGCATACCCCATCCAAGAGTATCCATTCCGCCTGTGCAAGCTTGAGCGTCAGCTGGGATGTAGTTCAATCAGTGTGCATAGAGCGCCCACCAATTCTCCATCTTTAAGCGCCCTTGATCTCTGCGAAGTTTCACCAGTGCCGTCTTCTCGAGGGTAGAAATAGCCGCCTCTGGTGACCTCTTTGATATGGTACGCCTTGCCTATCGGCGTTGTTGGTTAAAACGCAACACGACAGATGGCGTGAGTCGACGAACCGATCCAGGATTTCTGGGCGCTGGGAAGGACGACCTTGACATCCCAGCCTTCAGAGCAGAGTCAGGTTGTTGGTGGAGGGGAAATAGAATCGGCGCAGACCGAGATGGCGCGTTAAGTGCTTATAGAGACCAAGGACATAGGGTGATTCTTTATTGTCGGGAGGCCCATCGTCGTTCTGAAGCGCATGAGTTGACGTAGACAAGACGGATGGATGAACTGACAGTGAGAAGGACCCTGGGTTTGGAGTTGAAGGGCATGGATAAGATGAGGGTGTTATGTAATTTGTGAGAACCAGATCAGCATTGGCGTTTACCACAGCCCATCCTGGCTTCCCCACAGCCCAAATGTCCGGGTCTCTCGAACTCCCCGACCTCCCCCCTCTCGCATCCTTGGATATGCTCCACCACGACTCACCCAGCACTCCAAGTCCGAACAAGCTCCCCGTACCGACCAACAGAGACTCTGCCACCTTTCTCAAGTCCCCCGCACCCTCCTTTGCTGAATCCTTTAACACTGCCTTCACCTCTCAGGTCGAAGACAGCGACGACACAACGCGTTTGGTCCACTACTCTCTGGCGCCCCCTCAGAATCTGCGAAAATCCATCTCTGTCGACTCTTTCGCCCAGTACGGTCGGGATGGTTCTCGCTCCATTCGAGGTTATCCCAACTCTCCCTCGGAACAACCGCAAGCCCCACTGCATGCCACACAGGCCGAAAGCCAGGTCCGTCCAGATAGACAGCCATGGGTCGGTCGTAACCGCGGCGAAAGCCTGAGCTCCGTGCACCGTGATCACGGCCCATCTCCGCTGGATTCAGATGTTGACCGTTACGATCCTCTCAACCTACCCGCGTTGGAGCGCTTCCGACGCGCTTCTCTAAAGAACCAAGACACGTCTAAGCCATCTATCCGAGGGGGTGATTTGCCCCTACCCGCCCGGTCACATAATCTCAGTGTAACACCGAGTCTAGCCACCAATTCAACAACCTCCAGCCCTACTATTTCCAACTCTCCTTCTACTTCTGCTTTCCCTCCGTCAGCAAGACGGATCACTGGCTACTCTGCCGCCAATCCTGGTCGCACTCGTAGTGGAAGCTTGGGCTACAACCCACCCAATTCGTCTAAACGAATGGTTATTAATCCTCATGTCTCTATTCCCGTGAGCTTTTTTCCCGTTCCCAAGGCCGATATTGGAATTTACCTTCTTTTAATTCAGCGCCGTTCGTCTGTGACCAGCAGCGATATTGTCCTAGTTGTCATCGGCACCACAGGCTGTGGCAAATCGACAGTCATTCGCAAAGGACTCTCTGGATATGGGCTCTCAGATTCACTCATTATCTCTGATGCTGCTGGCTCCATTGCTCTTCCTCGATGTACATCACGTCCCACTGCTTCCCGGCGTCGATCTGACTATTCCTCGCCTACAGATATCCGTCGCCGTACTGGCCCTGTAAAACTCGATCACCCAGAGTCTCCTGGTGCAGTTCCACAAGTCATTGAAGTCATCGAAGTGGAGGTGCAAACCACTACCAAGGGTCTTCTGTGGCCTCAAGGGTTGCCTCCAATAGACGGCATTATTATATGTTACGATTCATCAAAGAAGAGCTCATACCAACCTGTTGAAGGGCTTCTAAGTGAGGTTTCGACTTTTCACAACACCTTCAAAGAAATTGACTTTTGGCCAGAGGGGTACCGTTCCACAACCCTGCCCATTATGGTGCTAGGCTGTAAAGCTGATCTTGACCATGAAGTTGACCCAGCAGATGCGTTAGAGATGCTCAAGCAATATGACACCGGTCTGATCGAAGTATCAACGAACACCGATGGCGGCAAGGACAAGATGAGGCGTTGCTTTGACTTTCTGTTGAAAGCCGTTCTGCGACAAAGAGGTGCCTTCCACGAGTACCTTTTTATCATTCGAGGGCTTAATATCTGTTTTAGGTCCTAGCCGAACTATCGATGATCGTAATCCTGCCTCTCCAGATTTGCCTTCTAAAGGTGCTCCCTGGGAGCGCTCTATGACCAATACCCCGACTGCCTCGCCTTCGATACCCACGAACACATCAGCTTCCAGTCTTGTCAACAACAGTATACCCGAAAGCTCCCCTTCAACCTCGACGCGTCATGCAATTCCAACGCCACCGTCAGGAGAACCGCCAGCCGTTATCGAGATGTCCCATTCAAGAGAGGACATTCACGAATCCGCTGCTGTGGACTCTGAAGATCAACAACATCAAGATTCGGAAACGTCTCCTGGGTTGCCCGACCCGAAGACCCAACAGGCTCTAGCCGATAAAAAGAATGCACCCAGGAAGGAGCCGTAAGTCTTGCTTGTACCTCGTACCTCGTTGTGCCGCTTGGATCCTTATTTCCACCTCAGACGACCGACCCAGTGGACAAGTTTAGAAGAACTACTTGACAAACTTCTTTTCCTGGCAGTCAGCGGAGATGGTAAGTGGAAAACTAGTACCACCCTGAACCCTCTACTCACGGCCATGAAAGACCCTACTTTCACCTCACATTTCCTGCTCACATATCGACGGTTTGCTACCCCGCGGAGTGTACTTCTTGCCATGCAGAAACGGATGCGCCAACTCGATAACCCTTGTGGTGATCCGATGTTTGCTTGCTTCGCTCAAATGAGGTAAGATTCGACTATTGATCAGATCGAATATCCGCTAAACATGTTGACAGGATTTGCCACCTCTTAGAGACGTGGATTCGTGACTATTCTCATGACTTTGCTGTGAAAGGAACTGTCGGTGCTCTTAATGCTCTCATCAAGTCCATCATCTCCAAGACGCACCTGCTTCACTATGGCTCAGAATTTCTTCCTTTCCTAGAACAACTACCTACTCTTGTTGACCAAGACACCACATGGTCCCTCAAAGCTGATATCTCGGACAATGACAGTGATGACTATAACGAAGAGGACGATGATGATGAAGCTCGAATTGAAGAACCAACTTCCCTCACTCATGACGACATCAGCCCCCCAACCGCTTCCACCGTCTCTTTTCCCTCCCGAGAGCGGAAATCTAGCCTTCCTCTACCAAAAGCCCTTCTGTCGCCGTCCCAAGTCAATGGTGCTCTTTCAAATACCCTTGAACCCAAACACCAAATTAAAGAACTCACCAAACTTGCATCGGATATTCTCACAATCGATTCGCAAGACATCGCGCAAGAGATCACTCGCCAGGGCGTCAAGAAATTTTTGGCGATCAAGGTATGAGTTTTGCTCCTCTCAATCATATTATATTGAAATTGGGGTTTGTCTAGCCTCGGGATTGGTTACACTACACTTTTGTGTTCTCAAAGAAAAATGACAACGAACCAATCAGCGCGTTCAACACAATGGCCAATCACCTGGCCGACTGGTGCGTACTTTTATTTGGGTTATGCGCAGATTTATACAACCTCGGCATTTAGGGTCGTATCATTGATTCTTTGTCATCACCGGCCGCGCAATCGTGCCCGCCAAATCGAGAAACTTGTTGACATTGCCCAGAAACTGCGGCAAATGAACAATTATTCTGCACTGCGGGCCTTTGTGGCAGGGATTAACAACGCCACCGATGATCCTACGATGGAGCAACTCAAATCACGATCACCAGACGCCGCTAAGAACTTGATGTCGTGGGATGTGCTTCTACAGCAAATACGTTCCCATCGAGCGTACCGTCTAGCACTGCGGAATTCGAAAGGGGCATGCATACCAGCGTTGTAAGTGACTCACTTGTCTGCCTTTGCTGTTTGCTGGGCCCTAATGTCCCCTTTTAGGGAGGTTCATATGTCCGATCTCATCAGAGCACATGAAGGGAACGGAGAAGTTAATGAATCTGATCCAACCAAAATTCACTGGGGCAAGTTTAACATGATGGGTCGATTCATCACCAGCACTCTTCAGTGTCAAGCCCAATGTCGCAACTCAAATGATTACGACTTCCCCGACCGTTCAGATATCGCCGAACTATTTGTCAAGTGTCCCGTTATGACCACAGAGGTAAGTTCGATGCCTCGCTGGGTTCCTTCCAAGTTCTCGACTCAAATGTTTCCTGAACAGATGCAGAAATCACGTCTTTCATCACAAAATGACTATGATGATTATCCTCCAGTAAACCATCCCGTCGGTCAGCCGAAAACGGATCTCACAGGCTTGCGAAAGCTGTTCTTCTGGTGATGTTTCATATACTTGCTTTTTCTTCTTCCGACTTTCTGTACGGGCGCAGTGGAATTTGTTATATGCTGTCCAAGTTGCTATTTATCTTCATGGTTTTATCATGTTTAAACTATTGCCTCTGTTATACTTCAGGTTTCGAACATATTCCTCAGCCTCAGCGTCAAATGCCCAAGTGATCAACAAAAAAAAACAAGCAACATTGCCTCAAGGACAAGTTCGAGTTTCGAAGTTCATGAACTGTGATTATTCACGAGATAAGACTCTGATGTCAACGACTCTGCTCCTCCAGCTTTCTCTTGCGTCTCAGGAACGATATCGAAGCACTAAACATTGGACAACCTCTAACCAAAAAATGTTGATTCCTCTCAAGGTAAGATTATTTTCTCCTTGTTACATCCGTCATCTCTGCGGATAAATGTATCATATGTCCAAATATAAATGTTGGTGCAAGAGAGGTCACTGCTGGCTCACAATCCCGCGCGTAACAAACTACCAGTATTTCCTTATTGGGGGCATCCGATCCCTCTTTCGGAGTCTGCTATTGAACTTGGCCACGCCCGCCATCTACATGTCATAGCCATTGGACCCGCCAGGTTCTCTCATTCTTTCGCAATCTCAGCGAACAGCGTCGTCATTCGCTCTAGATAATCAAGCCTCACGAAAATTGACGTTAGACGCGTCAACCACCCTCCACAACCTAGGATGGCGGCCAATGCCTTCACCACTCTGGCAACATCGCGTCTTCCCACCCCGAGTAGACTGTTCGCAAACTCATGCTGTCCGGACAAGGATCTAACTATTCTCTTCTCTCGCCTTGGAGGGAGTGATCGAATGAGCCTTTGGAGCTTGAGTCAGGGAACAAGAATATGGGAGACAGATGTCGGCGACGGAGAGGTTAGCACTACAGCAGTTGGGATAGCCTGGAGTCCGGATGGTGCGTTCCTCTCTCCTTGAAATGGCCTGAAACATGATCAAAGCCGCAGGACAGAGCATAGCAGTGGCTCGAGAGCCTCCGGCCGTGTCTTTTCACTCAGTGCAAGATGGACATCGATTCCAGACATTGTCAATCAAGGACGGGGACCGCCCAATTCATTTGTCGGAGATATGGTGGTTTCGAGATGAGAGGCCCGCGCCGAAGACTTCGAACATCCCCGATATTTTCAAGAGGGCGAATCTCATCGTGCGTTCGGTGTTTCTCTAAGGAGCAGACCCTGAGCATCGCATAGACAGGTTCAGCGCATTCAGTGCTCAAAATCCTTCCATTACTCGACCACCTACAGGAAGAGTCTGACCAATTAACGTATGTCCTTGAGATGCAGAGGTTCCGCCGAGGCTGATTCAAATGTTATGAAGCGCGACGGATCTATTCGCTTTTCAAGGCTCACATACACGTTCAGCAAAGTCTAAGCATACCCCAGTGATAGAGGCATGGCCCTCACTTCCGACAGATCGTATAGCGGCATCTATCAGCCCTTCGGCTCATAGTAAAACGACCCATGAAACTGCCAATCTCGACGAACTAGATAACTCGAACATGAACAGTATTCTCCTCGTCACTGATGACCAGGGACATCTCTTTTCCTTTCTTGATGGCTTCTTCCCCCTTGGAGTTATTCCTTTAGGGCAACCCGTTGACTTCCCCTCATTCGTCAAACATCCTTTGCGTCCTTGCCTGGTAGGGCAACCTAGCTTTCGCCATGGGGAACACTCGACGACTTCTCTCGTCCCAATAATGGTTGATCTTCCTCTTCTCAGTCATCGAGCAATTCGAGACTTCGCGAAACTATCGTCCACAGGACGAGAACTTACCTGGTATGCCACATGCGCTGTGAAGGAGATATGTGGTGTCTGGTATGGCGATGAGACCAACAGCGGGGCTCGAGAACTTGGTCCGAAATGGGTTCATGCTCTAGAAGTCAAACAAAGAGAGTCATTTGGTCGTAAGTTGACCGATCACCGCTCGGGCGCTCTCTGATGCCTCCTCAGAACAGAATACAAGCCCTATGCTTGATCTGACAATTCTCCTCACTACTGGTCGTGCGTCAGAATCATTGTCAGACTTTTTAGGTAGTGGCGAACTCACAGGCGAAAGGGTAAAGCGAACTCGTCAAATTTCTCTGACTGCATGTTGACTCCCGATATAGGGTATTCAAAAGTGGGAATCCATGGTCTCTGAAGCTCTAGTCAAATTGCGCGATTTCAGCGAGAAACGTCTTGCTCCGGCTCTGCAACGCCTGCACCTTGTCATCGAGGAGGTTCAAGGTTGGGCGAAACTGTGAGTCCTCCATTTCCCTTCTCCTTACAGCACGATTTCCAATGATCCGAAGGCCTCATTTTTCAGTATTTCAATTGTCCGCCGAAGAATTGAGCGGCGTCCTCGATCTTGCAAGTCGCGGCATCATACTCGCGAATTGGCTCACCGCAGAGGCGCGCAAACAATTGGGCTGTTTCAAAGAGTTCATCGCTTGGTTGCGTTATGGTGTGCCTCGTTTTCAAATCTCAGTAGTAAGCATGCTCAAACCTTGAATAGAGGTTAGCAACGTGAACTCACCTAATGAGGGCAACGTTCCTCGCTACGACACCCTTGAAGTCAATAATTACCTTACTTCTGGCCTTGCCAATAGCCCTATCGACTCGTGGTTTACTGGACCTGTACCTCAGTTTCGACTTCGCGACTTGGGAATTCCTGAACCAGAAAAAGATGGTTTGGATGAGGCCATGGAGTATGCACGCGATGTTGCTAATGATCCTGCCCTTCTGGCGGCATGGCAAATGGTGTGTAATCCGGTCTGGGTATCGAATCTGTCTCATAAGCGATCAAGGAGCGCGAATTGAACCATGTCGACAAAAACCTCAATGCGTTAATCGAGGACCTAGCACAACGATGCCAACGAGTTTTTCATCATGCATCCGGAGCGGTGTCTCGCTCTGCAACTGTTTCATACGCTCCGTCATCGGACGCGACACGGGCACCGGAGAAGGAGCGTTCGCCTCAGCCACGAATAGCATTTCCGTTCCGAGAGCGCACCGTCCTCAACGAAGTAAGTTTTATTAACGCCATTTTCAGAACAACACTCAAATTAGCAGAAGGGGGAGGTTGTACAACACCTGGTCGTGCATATGCCTTCAGTGGCCGATAATACGGGTAAGTACACTGCAACAGCTGGTCGCTTTAACTGCTGACGTCCATCCTCAAAGTGCTGCTGACTCAGCTCCGCTTTTCTGTTGAGGAATCTGGCTTGCCGTCTCAAATTGGCGTTGCGCTTCTCGAATGCTATCTTCCTGAGGAAGGTCAAGAAGATAGTAGCCTCGATCTCCTCGATGCCGATTTTTTCGACGATGAATGTGTCGTAATTGTTTACCGGCCTCGACGAGGGCAAAGTGAGTGAATGGACATGCCGTTCCCTCATTCAGGCTGATCCTAGCCACCATCTAGAACAAATGTCTCTAGCGATGGTCAACTACAGCGATGCAGGATATCAAAATTTGGCCTCCGGCGGGTACGTAACGAGGACGAGCCAGGAAGATTTGATCCAGGAATCCCTGGAGCTGTGGAAGGATGGACATGTAGGACAGGAATCCAGTAGGATGAAATTGGCACAAATTGACTGTTCATTTTCTAGCTATCGAGCACGAAGATTGCCATTATGCGACACCGCACGCTGTCGAGCTGCAGGGACGGAGGGGTCTCACTGGCCTTAAACGGGAGAACGGGGCGACGGGTCGCGTGCGTGCTTGATAGCACAGGGACTGCGCTGGAGTCATTTGATCTGGAAGGGGAGGTGGAGGATATGGAAGTTGCGGATGATGGGAGGTAGGGAGGTCGGACCGCTCCCGGGGGGCATGGCGTTTCCTGCATCGACGGGGTTCATTTTGTGGGAATTGGGAGACCGGGCAGGATCAAAGACTGGGGCCGACGGTGGGCGTCCTAGCTGGATATGGGGGATGCAAGATGGGGACGGATATTAGGGCGTGTCTGGGTGGCGGGTGGATTATGCGAGTTAGATTAAGAAAGCAGAGCTTCTCGAAATCGGCGAGAGTGCGTGAGCGCCGCACGCCTTCCGGCGAAACTTAAATTGTGCAAACATCGGCTAAGAGAGCGACGCCCAGGGCCGCGGACCCTCTCCTCGTGTATTACACTGATGAGATTCACCGATGCCTTTTTAAATCTCAACTCCACCGTCCACCCATCCCCAAATGCCAAAGTCCCCAGTCCAATCCTCAAAACACCACCACGATCCAGCTGCCCGCATGTCCGATGTCGCTCTCCGCAAGAAGAAAAACGCAGACGCCCAGGCCGCTTTTCGCGCCCGCCGCGCCAACTACATCGCCACCCTCGAGGAGACAGGTACTCTTCATCACCATCACCCTCTATTCCAGCTCACATCGCGCCAGTCACCAGCTTAGAGTCCGTCGTTCTCCAGCTCCAGGAATCATGCCGTGAGTCCCGCGGCGAGGCCCTCGAGTTACGGCAGGAGAACGCCCGTCTCCGCCACGAATACCGCGAACGTGAAAAGTTCTGGCGCGCCCTCTACTATGCAAAGAAGAACGGCCATCCATCCGAGCCAGATGATCTACCGCCACCCCCACTGTCATCTCCATTTTTGTCCCACTCCCAAGTCGCCCCTCTTCCTCCTCAACCCCCGCACGCACCGCTATTACACCAACATCCGTACCAGAACGGTTTGGGTTATCGAGGAGACGAGTCTATTCCACCCCACGGACCCTACAGTGCCGCTGCGCCTGGAGGTGCCAACTTCCCAAACCAATCGCCCTCTGTACCTTTCGCGAACCACGAAGCAGGCGACGGATCATCTGGATCTTCTCTCAACCATCGTACGGCGAAGTATTCAGCGTATCCCTATCCAGTTCAAGACTCTCCGAGGGATACACGATGGCCTGTACCACCAGCGTTGCAAACCGGCCTCAGTGGAAGCGAGGTCACCCCCCACGCTTCATCGCCCACATACATCGAATCGCCATCATTGACATCGACTGAAATGACCCCATATCCTGGACGATTCCCACATGATGAACAAAAGGTCGCGCTAAACTCGGTGCTGGAGAGTGCACCGTACGTTTTTCCCAACGGCGATCGGTTCCAGCAGAATATCGGGGAGAGTATGCCCAACAGCCGCTCACTGTCGCCAACTACATCTACTCCCAGCTCATCCACATCTCTACCACTGACGTCATCCTTTCCTTTTCCTTTTCACGACCAGCCTGCAGGACAGGACCGCTCGGACTTTGATTACCGACGTCATTCTCTTCCCCACTGTCCAGAGGTCACTCTCCACGGCGGCACAGCTGACATCTCTCTCACGAGCCAATCTGCCGACGGAGCACGCTATCGAGTTGGCCGTCGAACAGACTCTGGCGCCGACCACCACAACCTCCTCCCAGTTAGCGAAAGTGGATCACAGCACGACCAGGGCAGCAACGACGGAGATCTAGCAGAGAGCAGCCAGCGCCTTCGCCCGCGTCGTAACACGGGCCCTTCTCATTCTCGGTCGCCATCTCCTAATCCCACACCCATGTCCTGCACTGTCGCTGTTATAAAAGCCCAAGCGTTTGGAGCTCTTCGAAGAACCCGGGCCAGAACGAAGAAAACCTCTGACGGTGCTGCCAGAGTTGCTATGAATGTATTGGAGGCAAGGGGTATCGACATTGGCCCCTCGACTGGCTCCAAACGACCACGTCTCGAAGACGAAGACCTTGACGAAGATACGCCGTAACGACCTGTCCCTGCTTTATTAGAGCCGCCTCCCATGGAAGGACCGTGTATCTATAGTCGCCCCGATAACTTTTTGCTTCGACAACGCTAATGTAGACATCTATGGTTGTTTATACCACCTTGCTTTATACCTTTGTATTCCACCCTGTACCATACACATCTTGTCGAAATGCTTTGCTCATTGGCCATCCCAACATCACACACTGTATATATGACCGCCTCCTAGGATTATTGATGCTATTTACTCTGTCATTGCATATCAAATAACAAAATGTCTCTTCCTCATTTAACTTTGGGAACAGCAACATCCCAAGGACCTCGGATGATACTACGTTGTCTTCTTCAGCTAAAACTCGGGCGACAGGATGAAGGTCTGCTTACTTCTTGTATCTTTGAGCCCATATTAGAACAGCTGGGGCGATCAGGGTTACGAAGAACAAGACAGCGAAATACAACCACATAATAGTCCGGGACAGCTCAGTCATTAACCAAACGGCCAGGGCCCATAATATCGCGGTGATGAGGAGCCAGAAGCCTATCGGCGATGCCTACCAGTACTTTCGGTTAATGAAATGATGGAGATAGAGGATGAGGCATTTTACCTGCAGACGATGACGTAGCATGGGATACAGGGCAAAGGACTGGATTGAAAATAGCATGAGTGCAAAGACAGAAACATCTGTCGGTAGACGAGAGGCCAAAACGACGGACGCAGATACAGCAGCGTTCATGGACAGGACGGACGATAGTCTGGCAAGAATCTCGTCAATAATAATTTCCTAGAATGAACACAGAAAGGTCTGCACCCTTCATGAGCGTCCACGGGTTTCGTCGCAGTGTAATCAGCAAGGAGGGCACTCAGAATGAACAGAGCAGCTGCCAAAGCCCAGATGGAGTCGGAAGATGTCGCAGCCGTCAAAGTACGCAGCACTGGAGACAATGACATGAGGGCTAGAAACATCATGATCGACGACTTGAGGGATTTCAGATCTAGAGTTTGAAAGACCAGTCAGTGGGTCTGTTGGCCGACGCGCAGGGGTTTACGGACGGTTAGCATAAGGTTCCGATTGGACCTGCTTGCCCCCCAAAGTATTCCAAATCGTATATCCGACCAAAAAACACAGGACGGAAACGCATACAAGGGAACGTGGGTCCAACATGTTCTCCTTCAATCGGACAAAGACTGCAAGGAAGATGAAAATGGTCGAAAGGTGTTGAGTGATTGAACATGACAGGATGACCAGGGGCCAATATGTGTATGGCCGAAAGTTGGCTGCAACGGGTGGTGAGTGGATAGATCTTGCTTCGGGAGATCTGCATTGTGTGCACGACATACGATTTCGCTGCAACGATGCAAGAAAAAGCCTTGGCGGCACGTAGTTATCGGGGTATGCCTGTCTTTTCCAGAGCAATTTCTCCCAGTCGTTTGGCTCATGTGGAGGCATGGTCACCTATAGTCACCCGCGAAACGCTGCGAGTCCGCGTGGACTGGACCCTACCAGGCTGAGCGCTACTCCGTGTCGGGCCTGCCAACGTGGCTTACAAGAAGCGTCAGAATGAGATACCAAGTAAGACCGCCAGAAATGCAACTGGTGACTGAACACACCGTCTACGAGAATTGAGCCTTGTCAAGAGGGAACGCGGTTGATGGTCGTATCTGAGCGGTATGCGCACAATCTGAATGAGTACCAAGCCAGCCTCTGGGCCCTGCTCTGATCGCCGACGGCCAGAACTCTCAATGACAGTTCTGAGGAAACAATTGTCCTCGAGTTCTCTCTCTACTCGTGCTCCTGCAGACCTATGATCGCGGCAGAAGAAAGATACATATCTTCTTCGGATCGAAATTCCGGGTTCAAGATTCTCCAGTCTGAACAATTCACTCATAGGAGACTCTTATCATCAGGTGTTCAACGGGAACGTGTAACGAGCAAGGCATCGCGTCCAATTATAGTGAAATTCACGAAAAATGAGAGTGATAGGTACCCTAGATAGAATCTTGGAAGAAGGATCATCGTACGCGATGCAGGCAGGTTGCAAAGGATTGATTGAAGAAGGTCCGCCCCGCACTGCTAATGTCAGTATTCTTGTTTCAATCCCACTACACGAGGTCGCGCGTCAGCTCACAGCTGATAAACGACGGCACGTTGGTGAGGAAAGAGGGAACGCACCACTAGTCGCTCTTCTTCTCGGGCCTGAGTGGCAGGTTTCGAACTGTTCTGTTTTGCTAATTGACCAGCAAGCTTGCCTGCGTTAGGATTCGCATTATTTGTGCCCCTTCTTTGAGCCTGTAGAACCGTCAAAGAAGGCGTGTGTTTCGTGGTCAGAGACACTTACCGCCTGTAGCCGACGTTCTGCTGCTTCCGCAGCGGCAGTGCGAGCATTTGCAGGTGCCGTACGAGCACCACCGACAGTGTTCTGGCCGCTGGGCTCTGAACCTAACACAGTGTGGCCACCTTCGTGATTCGACGATTTGGAACAGAGAGAGCCCATTTGATGACTGTCAAGTCATCGTCAGTTAGGACTATCGCAGCGTCGGGATGAATCCCAACGCTCATGTGATATGTGCGACAATTTTCTTGGGATTGACGGTCCTTTGTATTCAAGAGGTCTACTACTGCTAACAGAAGGCTAGGAACAAACCAGTGATTCTAACGAGAAGGACGTTGTGCAAACTCCTCTGACGATCTCGCGCTCAATCCAAATCGGGTGAGTCCCAGTGGCGCGTCCTCTTCTTGCCTTCGAGGAATCCAGGGCTATTGACGTTGTCAGTGGCTTGAACAACAAGAGCAATAGCGAAAGACCTGCCTCCCACCACCTCGCCTGTCTCGTCTCCTCCATGGAAGCTCGCCAGTCAGCCCGGCTTTCAGCATTCGATTCTTAACGCCAGCCCCAAGTAGAAGGCCAAATACTGTGAGCAGAAAGAGTGTGACCACAAGTTGGTCGCGAGGAGAGTCTCGTTCTGGAAGCCCTATCAACAAAAAGCGAAGAATAGATCAGGCAGCTACGTACGGAAGCATCTCGCCTCAACGTCTCCTTCTTTTCCAGTAGCCGTATCTGGGTTGGTATCACCCAAAGTAGCGCCCGCACAGATAGGAAGGTTTTGGTTCAGACACCATTGCTTCGTGCATGACAAGCAAGGCTGAGCGGGTGTGTCGGGTGTGGTCATTGGCAAAATTGCATATGCTGTCCCAAAGCATACGCCTAACGGTCATAGCATCAGCTAGCGATTCGAGTTACCAACGATTGGGCAAGCGTACATTTACAAAAGTTGGTCGCTTCCCATTTCTTCCAGGCAGCAGTACAAGAAATCTGGAATTATTGAGAGTGTGGCTGAGAATCGCAAAACAGAACTCACGAATAGCGTCAAGATTAGGAAGAGGATGTACGGGAGGCGAAGAGGATTAGAAGATGCCATGGTACATGACTCCGAGGACGAAGGTTACCATTGCCAAATAAAGGAGCCACTGCTGAGCTTGAACTTGAACGCGTCTCAACTAGCGCCCCTCCCTTCTCGTCCTCCGTCATGTCAGGGGAATACGACGATGTCCTAACAAACCAGCCAGTAGTCATTGATAATGTAAGTTGCTTTCTTCATCCTTTCTCTTCGTTCTCTCTCATTGTCGCCCGCAGGGTTCTGGGACGATAAAGGCTGGTTTCGCGGGGCAGGATCAACCGAAGTGTTTTTTCCCGTCCTTGTGCGTCGTCTTGGTTAGGCATTGTCTGCACTGAAAGCTTCCTCAGTTAACCAATTGTGTTTTCTTTCGTTTCTAGTGTTGGCCGACCGAAACATGTACGCGTCATGGCGGGTGCCCTGGAAGGAGACGTGTTTATTGGCCGACGGGCGCAAGAGTTTAGAGGACTGCTCAAGATAAAATACCCGATGGAACACGGCATCGTCACAGACTGGGATGATATGGAACGGATATGGAATTGGGTCTACGCCGAAGAACTGGGCACGCTGAGTGAGGAGGTGGGGGATTCCTTCTTTCGATTCTGTTGCTTAATGTTCAGTGACATCAGCATCCTGTCCTATTGACCGAGGCCCCTCTCAACCCTCGGAGTAATAGAGACGTAGCAGCCCAAATATTCTTCGACACCTTCAACGTTCCAGCACTCTTCCCTTCAGTGCAAGCAGTTCTGTCACTGTTAGTCATTGTGTTCCCGATCTCATTGTCCAGCATCTGACGCTAGTTTGATATCCAGATACTCTTCAGGACGCACAACAGGCATCGTTCTTGATTCTGGCGACGGCGTTACCCACGCAGTGCCAGTGTTTGAAGGTTTCTCTATGCCGCATGCCATCCGTCGTGTTGATGTGGCAGGAAGGTAAATGAAGTCCTATATATCAGACTTTCCCTTCTCAAGACGGGTTAGAGACGTGACCGATCACTTGCAACTGCTTCTCCGAAAATCCGGACACCATCTGCATACGACAGCAGAGCGCGAAGTCGTCCGTACGATCAAGGAGAAATGTTGCTACGTTGCGCTGAATCCTGCAAAGGAAGAAAAGGATGCGCTTGGTCGGTCAGAAGAGTTCAGGCTTCCGGACGGAAACATCGTTCAGGTATCGCCTTTCATTTTTTCTCCCAATTCCAACGATTTCTGAGATGTCTTTATTTTCTAGCTCGGACCTGAACGTTTCCGCGCCCCTGAAATATTGTTTAATCCCGAATTAATCGGTCAGGAGTACGCCGGTGTCCACCAGGTTGTTGTGGATTCAATCAATCGAGTTGATCTTGACCTTCGCAAGAGTTTATTCTCCAATATAGTCCTGAGCGGTGGCAGCACACTATGCAAAGGTGAGCATATCCCTTGGTTCTACCCTAGATAATTGTTCTACCACAGGTCTTAGGCTTTGGAGACCGCTTGCTTAATGAAGTGAAGAAGCTGGCTCTGAAAGACGTCAAGATCAAGATTTATGCTCCTCCAGAGCGAAAGTACTCGACATGGATTGGAGGATCTATTTTGGCTGGTCTGAGCACTTTCAAAAAGGTGCGTCTTAAAATGTCTTTGTCTTTGTCATGCACACTTGAACTCTTCGCCAGATGTGGGTTTCAGCCGAGGAGTATCAAGAGGATCCTGATATCATCCACAAAAAATCGGGCTTCTAGAGAAGTACTCAATCTTGTCACTCTTGCGCTAGTCTTCTTCCGATACCCGTATACTAAGCCCTGGATTTTCTATTCAAATGTACCATTGCCTCATAGTTGTAATAGAGCGAAGGAGGCGGATGATGGGACGACGGTACATGCAACGTTGAGAATATCCATAGCTGCACACTGACAACAAAGAAGATACACAGGGCAGAGCGACTACTTGCCCTTCTTTGGGGGCTCTGCGGCCTTGACCTTTTTGGTTCCACGGAACTGAAAAGAATTGTTAGATGCGACGAAAATTGGCGAGGAAAGGACAAACCTTCTTCGCACGGTTTTTGCGTTCCTTCCGTAGCTTACGGGACGCCTTCTCCACCTTCGTTGCAAGCCCGGACTGCAGAAACTATCAGCCAACGCTACGAGGCACCAATTGTAAGGGGCACATACCCGTACTAGACGATATCTCGGCTCGAACTTCTTCTGCGACGCCTCATCATCGTAAATCAATGCGAACCCTGTGCTCCGTCCTCCACCAAAGTGTGTTCGGAGACCGAAAGTAACTACGCGCGCCTTGTCGGTCTTGTACAGGGTAGCAAGCTTCTCAGAAAGCTCAGCTCTTGAGACATTGGCGCGGGAAGGGTGTAGGACGTCCACAACGAACTGGCGACGCGCTAAGAGGCGGTTCGTAATGAATTTTCGGGTACGAAGAGTGATTGGTGCTGAGTTGTCGGCCTACGAGCATGAGAAGTAATCAGCTCATTGCCTCGTCTCGCCAGGGAGGAATGTGTCAGAAATGGACCATTCCCATCTCTCTCTTTCTATAGGCAGTCCGTCCCCAAAGACCATGCAAATAACCTTCCTCCACTGATCCTGATCCCGGCCAGTTGTCGAATAAAATGGCTCACCATTTTGACAGCCTAAGGTCCTGTTCTGGAGGAAGGTGTGAGCCTGAACACGTAGGTGGGAGATAGTCTTACCTTGTTCTTGAGGTCGTCGCCAATGCCGGGAGCCTTGCTAATCGTGTTACCTGTGATGCTGGTGGCTGAAGCAGAACTGCACAGTACCTCGGCGAATGCCACTCTTCTCACCACGTGACACTGACTGCTCCTTCCATGATCGAAAAGTCCTTCAGTGAGCAGCGCTGCTGTGGCCCGGGGTCGACTTGCGGTAGACACTTCCTCATTGTATGCATCCTTCAACTTCATTATGCACTGGTACTCCACCCCCAGGCTTCTGGCCTTGTCAGCCTCTTGCGCTGCGGCATCGGCGACAAGAAGGCTCCTATCACAACTTGAAGTCTGCACAAGATGACCGTTCTACATCCCTATCTCTTGTGGCTGAAATGGGAGATCTCTCTGGCAAGTAATCTAGAAACCGGGCTACACTGCATACCTTTCTATCTTCTGTAATTTCGTGATTAAGCTTAATTCATCGAGCGCTAAACGCCGCACGCTCACCGTTAAAAAATTCTCTACATAAGGTTCATTGCACTTTCCGTTCTACATGCGACTCTCCTCCTCCGACTACTGCTTGAAGTGGCAGAGGTAAAATCAGGTGTTGGCATCGTTCTCCCCTCAAAGTCTTTTGTGCAGATGTCTGTCATTGACCTCTGGCTTATACATTGGATCTGTGTGTCCGCAGAGAGTTAGATCTACCCTGGTCATATGGGATAGCGTATGGGAACCTGTCAGCACGAAGAAACCATGACAAATTATACTCAGGCTTGGGCGTTGATAGATGAGTCAAGTAGACAAACATTGCGTGCTGCATGCATTACAACAGAGCCGTATAGAAAGTGAGCGTTGATAGTGGATAGATGCTAAGTGTGGATACAAATGTATGCGCGATGAAGGGTGTCATAGTTGTGATTGAAAAAACAAGAGGAGAAGAGCGTCCAGCCAACTTCTAGATGCATAGCCCGGCTAGCACAACGCCCGTGTCGCAGGCTAGCGATGTTGTCTTCCCAAATACTCCTTGCAATAGAGGCGTTAACTGATTGATCGTAGCGTCGCTGTAGTCCTCGAGAGCGTCCAAGATCTGGTCGATTAAACATTTGAGATTGTAGACAACTGGCACAGGCCCCGTCAAAAGGTACACGTGTTTCGAGATATATAGAAACATACTAGGTCCAAGGGTCGGTCCGAGACCTGGGATGTTGTAGACAGCAGCAGTGGTGGAGTTCAGAACGTCCTTGTTAAGGTTGACGACGTTCTTGAGCAGAGTTTCAAGGTCGTTATCCCGGTCGTAGTTAGCGAGCCCTTTGTCAGAGGGTGAAGCCTGTACAAGAACCTCCTGGATGCCTTGCATATTCTGACTGAACTCAGAGAGTTCGGATGCGCAGGCTTGCTGGAAGTCATAGTCCTCATTGTCCGTAGTGGCCGACTTCGCGGCGAGGCTCTCTGTCAAACATAAGTTCGCTTATTCGATAAAAGCAAGATTGTAGCACGTACTCAAGTTGTTTGCATTCTTCGAAGCGGCATCATGGTATTGGGTAAGGGAATCCAGAGGCCCGACGTCTCGAGAATGGCGAAGAGAAACAAGAGGGAAAGGGCTGGCACTTCGACTAGAAACACGAGAGATCGACCGATTCAAAGGAATAAGACTTGGCGAGTAGTCCGGCGCCATCAGAAGAGGAAGAGGTATCGGTGTCGAAAGTACAGGCCTCGCAAAGGAGAGCATCGCGATAAACGCGACAGAGCGTATCAGGAAGTCCAGGCGGCGTGAAGACATGACAAGACGGGTCCCAGAATCAAGTCAAGGGTCAGGCAAGGAAGTTTAACTCTGCGACTAGCGCAAGAATGTGGAGCAGACAAGGGCGGGATGACCGGCGGGATGTGGGAGTGAGAGGGAAGGGGTGAATGCGCGAAAGGGAAGGAGACACGTTCTTATGTATCCCCGCCGGGTCCTGTTTGTCTCTCTTTGCCGACGCTCTATTTTTGATCGTCTATTTTTATCACATTCGCTGCCCAGCAAGTAAAGGACAAAGATGAGTCCAAATGGTATTAGTTGGTACTGATGTACATACAACTAAAGCCCAAATTCAACGAATGATAACGGGAAGTGGTTTCCGACATGAAAAGGACGCTCCGACCTGGGAGACCAGGAAGCATGGAATGTCAATGAAGTGGCTTCCCGTAGATTGCGAGGCAGAGGATGAAACAGCAGTAATAGCGTAGGTACCAAGAGTGAAGGCAGAAAGCAACCGCGAAGTCCGACATAACAGCATAAGGAGTAAGTAGCATGTCCGAATGATGTAAAGTAAAGTAAATATCCGATCTGGTGATGAAATAGAATGCGAGGAGTAAATACGGATAGCTTGTCCGCGAGAAGTCCGTCGAAGTTGGAAGGCTTGTGCGTCGTAAGAGAAAAAAGAGATAAACAGTGCACGTAAGAGTTCTTGACGAAAAAATGCAGAGCTTAGAGCTCGACACAGGTCTTCCCGTCGGGGCCGATTTGGAAACCTCCAGCGCAAGTGTAGACTAACCTGGGTCAGAACACGAATGAACAAGAAGATTGAACGGAACGCACCGACACAAGATCCTTGTTCACAACCGACATTCCATGCGCCCTCAATCTTGGTGCAATCCTGGCCCTTGCCTTGCGAAGTACAACCACCGCAAGATTCGAGCTCGGTCGCGGTGTCAAGGCATTCGTAATCCCCTGTCAGGCTAGAGACGGGGCAGGCATCCAAACCGGTCGGGCAGAGAGTGGATCGCGACTTAGCGGAGCGCTTCTTGTGGCCGCCATAGCCATAGCCGTAGCCGTGATTGTTATTGCCATGGTTGTTATATCCGCCGTTGTACTTGGAAGGAGTGCTGGGAGGAGGTGTGGGGGGTGTAGGGGTAGGGAGGCATTTGTAGATGGCAGGGTACCAAGTCCAGTTCTTGGGGCACTGAGGGGGAGGGGGGTTGGTAGGCGGAGGGTTACGAGGGACACAGCATCCGCGCTTGGGCTCCCAGTAGTAGCTGGTAGGAGGGCAGTTAGTGCCCTTAGGGGGAGCAGGAGGGGTCTTCGGGCCACCCTTATCCAAGCAACACTTCTGGCCGGCCCACCTGCGCGAGAATGAATGAATAGAAAGCGGGAGGACCATGGGTCACGCACCAGAACTGATTGCTCTTGCAATTCTGCTGGTTGGAAGAGGTATACGTCGAGGCAACCATCGTAACCAAGGAGGCCAGAACGGTCAAAGCAAATTTCAACTGCATCTCTGCGGGTCACGTCGAGTCGTGGATGTGGTTCAAAAAGAGTGACTGAAAGAAGGGAAGGAGGCCACTGGAAGACCTAGAGTGTCGAGTCGTTAGAGAACGAACAAGGAGGAAAAAGATCTGAGAATAAGGAAAAAAGACAGATGCCTTTATACCTCCGAGCCGTGAAACTCCATCAACCCGAGTCCATGGGATTCTTGACATCCCATCCGGGCCAATATGTTTCCAGAAAGGCACAAGAGATGCCGATCCTTAGCAACTGCCTCCATTTTTTTGTTGAACCCGTTCGCTTTTCGGTCATTTTACTCATCCTGCGTCACAATAAACATTCGATATCTTTGAAGGATTTGAGAGGAAACAGGCGCTATTCGAGAGCGAGATTGTTGGAGTTGCGACTCTGGGAAGAGTGATGGGCCACATGATACGGAATCAAGAGCCGAGATCATCAAATGTGGAAGAACTGGAAGAACTGGACCAATAGAACTGTCACACATGATCGAATTTTTATCGAGAATGCCAAGCTAGATATGGAAAAAAAGGAGACCCCCCAATCCCTATCGTCCAAGGCACAAGCGCGCCTATTGAGTAAGGACTTTTGGCGGGATCGAGCATCAGAAAAAAAACCGAACCACTCACCTCATCGGGAAACCCATCGGATCGGAGGATCCTCTGCGCATCTAGATTCTATGCTGCCGACGGCAGAGTACGCCGACTGACTCAAGATGCTGACAGTGCTGGAGGAAGACCTGAGCTATTGGGCGAGTCATCACGAACTGCAGTAATACGAAGAGTCCCAACAATCCATGTCCAAGGGCAGCGTATCCAAGGTACCAATTGACACCACCATCATTCAAGGTCACGCCAATTATCGTGTTGAGATAATACTTCGACGACACAAATATACTGTAGGGCGAGTTCTTACAACGAGTCAATCATCTACCACTGCTTTATCAATCGACGATATGGAAGTAAATGTAGTCGTTAAACGCACCAATTCATGAGTCCGTCCGTTTAGGAATCAAGCGCGGCTGCCTTTTGGAGGGCCCGCGTAGCGAAGTAGCGAACATCCGCGTCGGCGTCGTTTTTCTGTTTCTCCAGCGTAGGCTTGATCAATTCGTGGACGAACGTTCTGCCTTCTGGGGTTCCGCCAACCGAAGTCGCCATGATCTCCAAAGCTTTTGCAACATTGAAACGGATATTGGGTATCGGATCCTTCGCTAATTCTAGGAGAGGCCCAATGACATCAGAACGAATAATTTCCAGTGTGAGTGAAGGGGTGATGGTCTGTTTTAGGTGAGTCTCCGTCCTTCAGCGGAAGGCCGCAAAAAAACTTACGGTGATTGCCTGCACCGTTGTCATCCTGAACAGATAGTTGGGGTGAGCACCCATGCCCATGACCTTGGGTACAATGGCGACCTTGGCCCACTCGACGCCAAACACCTCCGTCAATTTCTTCAAGTTGACTGTAGCAGCTTCTCGAATGCTATAGACTGTGTCGCCCAGCCATGACATGCAGAGATTTCCCAGTTGTTCGTCGAAGAATGGCTTCCCAAGCTGATTCGAAAGGAGGGGTATATATTCGATGATTGCCTGTCGCACTCTCCACGATTTGTCCTCGGCCAGCTCTACAATCGCTGGCAGTAGACTCTCCGACAGCAATTCGATCCCAATAACTGCAAGGAGCCAGTCAGCGTATAGTTGGAAGAGGCCGTGAGCACGATCGCTAACCAGTGTTGACAACCTCCAACTTGCTGATAATATTCAGTCGTACCTCCGGGAAATCGTCTTTCAGGAGATGAAGGAAAAGGGGTAGGAGATGTTCGATGGTAGCCTCCTTGCCCAATAAAGGAGCCAACCCGCTTATCTGGTTTGCTAGAGCTGCACGGACATGCTGAGAGGAGTCTTGCGAGAGATCCCGGACACAGGGCACGACGCGAGCCAGTATGACCTCTTTATCAAGAAGTTTTGAAAAACCTAAAGGACGAACAGGTAAGATGGGCGGACCATAATGCACGGCACGTACCCGGAATCTGAGACGCAGCAGCAGATCTAACCTCAGCTTCGTTGTCCTTGAGGAGCTGAACATATTGCCCAATGAGTTCCTCTCGCACAATCTCGACGCCCACAGCTTCCGATAACTGATCCAGCGTAAGAAAACGTGTGATTGGTGTCGAAAGATGCTCACCTCGTTGAAATGGGTGGCGGCCATGTATCTGACGCGCCAACTCTTATCTCCAATACTTTGCTTGATTTGCCTCAACAATTGCTCCTTGACCTCGGGTGGCGATAATCTCTTTGCAATGACAATCAGATCTTCAACTGTCAGCAATCTAACCGAATCTTGTTCATCCTGCTGCAGTTTTCGATAGATAGGTAGTCCATCCGACAGAATGTGCGGCTGAGAGAAATGTTGCAAGAGCGGCTGTTGGACCACGGTAATAACTAAGTCGCACTTCTCGGAGGAACGTTGCACTCACTCCGAGCCATTTCGCAGCTGCTCGCCGGACCATGGGCGTATCATCTGAACCAAGGGATGTAAACCCTTTGCGGAGATCGTCTTGGATGGCTGGCGATACTTTGGCATACACTGCTGAGTAGAGAGCCGCTGATGACGTCCGCGAAGTAAACCATTCGCCTTGGGATAAGCGCTTGAGTAATGGGATGTAATATTGTTCGATTTGTGACTGAGAGAGGGCAGCGGCAACTTTGGTGATAGATTCGGCAGCCTAAATGGATAATAGGCATAAATCAAGGTGACACCTAACTTCGCGCTTGCCGAACATACCTTCTCTCGTACGAGCGTCTCCTCCACTGCAGAGAGATTTTCAAGAGGGCCCAAGAGTATGTGAGCGTGCTCCTTCCCGCCAATATATTCCTCGAAGTTCCTTCCCAACTCCTCGGCGAGTGCAAGCAGAACCTCATCCTCATCATCAACTGAATCTTGCAGAAAAGGGACCAGCTCTTCTCGTGCACGGTCGGGTCCTAGAGCCAATGCAATTGTAGGTATGCTGTGAATAGCGTTCAAGCGTAGTTGTACATCCTCTGAACGCAATTCATCCATGAGAATGGCGATCGGGGCTATCTAATGAATGAACCACAGGTTGTCAGTAATCGATGCATTGCGATAGTGGAAGAACGGACATCTTCTATGGGAAACCCTGCATCCATGGTTAGGGAACTGGGACGATATTTCGTAACGAGGAAGGGGATGTCTAACGAAGATTATAAATTCGAATGGGAGGTGAACGAGCGCGCAGTGGAAGACTTGAGGAATCTTATGACTTGGTTGGTGTCTGATTCGATTCAGGAGCGTGGGAACTCTGCCGTTCTTGATGGGTGCGTCCTTCGTCGTCGTTTGGAAAATAACGCTGGTAGGCCGGGCAAGCCCGGCAGAGCCCGCTACCGTCTGCCAAACTCTTCTTCTGTTTGGGTAAATGGCCGTAATACTTATGGGAGAGTAGATCAGCTCTAATTCGAATGTGATATACATGTTTTCTTGAAGAATATATTATTAGAGCCTCAGATGAGGGTTTAATATCCTACTTCAACGAAATTCCTAAGTTCGCAACCTGCCACTTTGAAATGACATCCCGGAGACTTCATCACGCTGGAGGGCTTCTGTCAGTGAGGATGATCATCTCACCTCTAGATTTTAAGAGGCAATGGTCAGTCGCAGGTCAACCAGTCAGTCGCTAATGGAAACACGTCGATGTCTTGACAGAGCAGCCATGAACAATCTTGAGATTCGAGAACAAGCGAAAGTTCGGACAAATGGACTCTATATTTTAGCAGACGAAGGGGACATAACTAAATGAGAATGCATCAACACTGCTGACAAAGTAGCAAAGGACAAACGTACCTGATTGGATACCCCAGCTAGATCCAGAAAGACCCGAAGTCAAGGTAGATGATCCAAGCTGAGACGTTGCACTTAAATTCCCTGTCGGGTTTGCAATACCATGCGTGCAGTTGTCGAACCAACCACAACCAAAAATGATGTCGTGTGCAAGACCACTACCAGTGACGAGGTTCATCTCGCATACAAACTGACCAGCACTCGAGTTAACAGCCATAGCAAGATGGACCTTTCCCTCGCGAGACTCCAGAAATGTTGTTGAGAACCAAAAGGCTTCGGAAACTGCAGAGCAAGAGGCCAGAGCATTATAGGAAGCAGTGGCAGGAGCGCCATCGAAGTGAACCAGAAAGATACGCATAAGAGAATCTGAGTAGCGAGTCGGTGAATAGCAGTGACAACGTGACGAGGGAGACAGAGTTCGACAAATGGGATGGAAAGCGTCGGACCGGCAACTCGTATCTACCGGTCACGCCGTCACGGGCACAGAGCCAATTCATTTCATGGTCATTCTGGCTCTCGACAACCGCCGAACCTTCTGGCCATCCTCGATAAGCTGAAAAAGATCGTCCTCGATAAGGAAAAAAGGTCCTAGGGACAGCCACTGAAAATTACCCGCCAAAATCTGAGACAAACAGTGACCCGGATCACTATATGTAGGACCAAGTAAATGACGTCACTGCCTGTTCTGCTTGCTGAGCAACGGTTGGCTCGGAAGATACCAGAATGCCTTCCCAGCGCTACCCTGCCCGAGGAACCGTATCACCTTCTTCCAACCGTCATGCCCGTAGAACATACTGCAACCACCACCATTCTGAAACACCCCAAGGTCTGATCCTCTTGCTAGTGCTGTGACGTTCCCCAAGTTCCTCAACGCGTTCTCAGGGATCTGTAGAGATTCTCGCATATGGGGCAACCGTCGTATCTTGGAAATTCAAAGACCAAGAACGGCTTTTTGTTTCTTCGAAAGCATTTCTAGACGGGTCGAAGCCCGTTCGAGGCGGCATACCAGTCGTATTCCCTTGCTTTGGTGCGCCAGTGCACCCTGAGCATTTCAAGTTGGCACAACACGGCTTTGCGAGAAATGAAATCTGGAAATTTGACTCGATTGTTATGGATAATGGAGTTGGAGTATCGGTCAGATTCAGTGCGTAATTGGAAGTGTTATCACTTCTTGATCTTCCACTTACAATATCATCTCTCAGCTCTGGACTCTGATAGTGGTCACATCAAGGAGTTGTACTCCAAACCCTTCAAGCTGGCCTATGTTATCACGTTGGCGGGGCATCAGCTCAGCACTGACCTGCATGTTGGGAATACCTCCACATCCGACTCCCTTGAATTCCAGGCTTTGCTGCATACCTACATCCGCGCTCCAGCCGACGATGTCTGCATCACTTCTCTTAAAGGTCTGTCCTACTACGACAAAACCGAATCCACTCAGGAGGCTCGGGCTATGCCGAAGACGGAAACCAGAGATGAAATCCTAGTCAAGAACTTCACGGATTCGGTCTACGAAAACGCGCCATTAGACTATAAGGTTGTTTGGCCAAGCGGGGGTGTTCACGTCAAGACTAAGGGCTTCAAAGACGTCGTAATATGGAACCCCCAAGAAGAAGGCCGAAAAATCGGTGACATGGAAGTTGGAGGATGGTAGGCAGCCTTTTCTCTTTATCCCCGATCATGTTCATTCTGGATACAACCCAGGAAAAAATACGTGTGTGTTGAACCGGGCTATGTTCGAGGATTCGTGTCTCTTGAACCGGGCGAGACTTGGATTGGACAGCAGGTCATTACGGTTCTCGAGAGTGATTAATATTGACGCCTCCGTTCGTCACTTTATACCTGACGTCTTGTACGTAGAGGAAAAAAATTCTAGGGCTATCTGCTACTGCCAGCCAAATTAACTGAAAGGTTAGCTGCCAACCCGAGTTATACTTAGCGGTCATACCGGACCGGCGGTTAATGTCAACCTTGGATGGATGAAACAGTTATCAGTGCCATCTTGAAGCTTCCGCTCCCCCCTCAACTTTTCACCTTCATGACCTTCCCTTGATCCTCCGAAATGTGCCCCACTCAGTATGTCTGAGCCTCATGACTCGACGACAACGTCGCCAAATATTCCTGGCCCACGGCTACAAGTCCGCATTAACCAAATTGATTACGCCCTCGTTCCGCCCGGTGCCCTCGATAATTCCTCACTCCCTCACGTACCAGTTATCAGAATATACGGGCCCTCATCCATTGGAAAGACATCATGCGTTCATGTTCACCAAGTGTATCCATATGTCTTCGTCGAATACTTTGGCAAATTGAGCCCACAAGATGGTGAGTCCGTCCTTGGCCCATTCATCGCAACTGCCAAACCGACCCAGATGGAATTCAGTCAAACATTACGTGTCTAAGCTGCTCCGCTCATTAAATCACGCTGTTGCATTCTCCTTGAAACGAAACCCTGATTCTCCCAAGTCCCAGTTCATTCGAGGGATCATTTTGGTCAAGGGCATTCCTTTCTACGGCTTCCATGCATCCTACCAACCTTTCCTCAAAATATTCACGGCTGATCCGGCGCATATTCGCCGCGTAACGGCTATTTTGCAATCAGGCACAGTGATGAGCACAAGATTCAGAGTGCACGAAAGTCACCTAAGCTATGTCCTCCAATTCTTGTGCGATTTCGGCCTATACGGGTGCGGGACCATCGACCTAGAGGACGCGTTGGAAAGATGTGCCGATGACCCAGAGGAAAATGCAGAGCCTGTCTCGTCCGACGAAGCCGCTACAGTCAAGTTTCCGCCGTCGTCTTACTTCCGGGAGTCGCGCGTCGCACTCGAAGTCGATGTCATTGCCCCACATATTCTTAACCGACATCGTCTGATGGCGAGAACGGTTCCTCAGAAAGCTGAAATGTCTGCACCTCCATTGCACTCAGAACCCCTGGTACTTGGCGTCCGCGAACTCTGGGAGGACGAGCGCAGACATCGACAGGAACATGGCCTCAATCCTTCTCCTGAAATGCCTATTGACCCAAGTGAATCCTCTCGTTCCAAGGGTGTAGAATGGGTGTCGGAAGCCAGGTGGTGGGACGAAATTGCCAAACGCATACAACGGGAACGAGAAGAATACGAACCCAGGCCTTACGAGGACCATAGTTGGGAAAGATTCGTGATGACCACATTTGAAAGTGTCGAAGCGTTGTGGGAATCACAATACAAGGCTTGGAAGCCAGCAGAAAGACCGACCAACAAGGATGCCAGCAAACCCAATCAGGATCTCCCTCTGCTGGAGGCTCATTGGCAGGAAGAGAACGAACAAGATGCAGAAACGAAAGAGGATCCTGTTGACGTCGATATGACAATGCTTTCAGACCAAGAAATCATTCAGCTTGATCAAGAAGACCAGCAACAAGACTGGAATGAGGAGGGTCCTACTGAGGCTGACGTCGACGAAGCGGAGACATATCCCGAAGCGGATGAAGAAGACCAAGATATCGACTTGCAGGACAATGACCTCCAAGAAGGCGAGAAGACGGAAGACATTGAAACTCTCAGGTGAATCCTTTCAGCTTGATGCGTTGCCATTGTTATTTAAATCCTCGTAGTCCTGTTGATCCCTTTTCTGGTGGTCCAGTAGACGAAACCCGGGCGCGGGAGTCCTATCATTTAAATAGGTAGGCCAATTTAGGCCGCAAACTTCTTTGCTCTGAGTAGATTGCAACTATCTGACAGCCCACCGACGCCCACCCGAGGCATATGCGTGGACAAGGAAGGTTCCCCAACTCCAACAAAGTCGCAGACTACTATCTCTATCCATCTGAACGATTTCACTCACGGCCCTTTATACAGGCACTCAAACGGCAATGAAATCCACGTTCTGACGGCAATTAACAACCAAGGAAACGATGTGACTGAAATGCCCACTGACATTGCGGACATTGCTGGCTGTATCGCTTCTGACACCGGAGTCTCGAATCTGACTATAGACCAAGTCGAAGACCAGCCTGTGGCTCCAGGGACTCATGGTCCTGATCTGGACGCGCCAAAATGCGATGCCCACCCCCCTATCCTGACTGCGAAGGAACGCTTTTCGTTGATCACCGCGCGTGCGGTTCATCTTTCTAAAGCATTTGACAGCTGTAAAACTGTGAATACAAATCGATATACTTACTCGTTACCACCCCCGTCCAGAGCTGAGCTGAATGACAGCCTTCAAGCCCTTGGATTACCGAGCAAGATCTATCAACCTCCACATTATTCTGAAGACTGCGATATTCCAGAGATGGCCAAGGAGTATGCCGGCCTCAGCTACAGACTCAAGGGAGGACAAGGCATTGCCACTCTTGACGAATGGTCCAGCAACGAGACAAGTAAAATCGCCCCTCTTGATCTGTCAGAGAATAGCCATTTAGATCCCTTGGGAGTTGGCGGTTGGGAGTACGCAAGTCACCCACCCAGTGTCAAGGCAGTTCGACGGACCATGAACACCCTTGGCATCTGGACAACCAAGAACAGCCGAATGAAGTCTCAGGTAAAAATCATAGGTGTGAAATAACTTTTCGATATTCAACCCTTCTACAGATTGAAGGACCAACCCAGGCCAATATCTATGGCTTCAAGACATCGCCCACGGGAGGGCCAGACAAATTTCGCGACAGATTGAACATGAGCATAATGTCTCTGGAAATATTCGGTGGGTAGCATTATGATCCACGTCTCTTGCTTGCTTAGGAGTCCATCGTTCTCCGTAGTGCCGACCCAGGACGCGAAGGTCCCCAACCCTGAGGACGATCAAGTTGCAGTTGTGGTCTACGCCCTCCATCTGTCTGGGATGGATGTCTCCCACAGAGGAGTCCTAATTCTGAATATCCCTTCATTCAGTCAGAAAACACTACCGGGGATGGAGTTTCAAATTTTTGACACTGAGCTTGACCTTCTCAATGGACTGGTCGATCTCGTGGTCGATCTCGATCCGGATATCCTGGCTGGATGGGATTTACAACTTAGTTCATGGGGATACCTCGAAAGTCGAGGGCAGACATACGGTGTGGTTCCTCGCGGATGTCTTCTTCTTATCCGTCTAATTTGCGCAGGTATTTCAATATCTGACCTTGTCTCGCGAGCACCTCCAAGACAGAGCGGCGGCTCGACGGACTCGTGGAGTCTACGAAAGTCGTCAACCTTTAAAGTCGCTGGGCGTCAAGTTCTCAACCTGTGGAGAATCATGCGATCAGAGAAGAACTTGACGTCCTACACTTTCGAGAACGTTGTTTTCAATATCCTCCACCGACGGTATGCGCAGCTAACGATCCTATACGAAGTATATTTCTGAACTGGTGATCCATCCAGCGTCCCGCGGTACAGCTTCCAGACCTTAACTCACTGGCACAGCAGCTCCTCGACAGCACATGCGTGGCTATTAGTTAGATATCTCGATATGAGGACGAAAACAAACTTGGAAATACTTGAAGAAGCTGAGATAGTCACGAAGACAGCGCAAGTCTCTCATTACCTCCGTTATGTTCCTTCCTCATCTTTTCACTCGTAGTGAATTCGCGCGGGTATTTGGTGTGGACTTCTTCTCTGTTCTGACCCGAGGCTCTCAATTCAAGGTTGAGTCCTTCATGTTTCGAATCGCGAAACCGGAAAGCTTTGTTTTGATCTCCCCAAGTAAGAACGACGTAAGTCAGCCTTTTCTAAGCAGTCCACGATGTCTTGATAGACTGCCTTTCGTCAGGTTGGGAAGCAGAATGCGGCCGAATGCATGCCACTCATCATGGAACCCGCGTCCGCGTTCTATACAAGTCCTCTCCTGGTACTTGACTTCCAGTCACTGTATCCGTCGATCATGATCGCCTACAACTATTGCTATTCGACATGCCTTGGACGTGTCGTTGGTTTCAAAGGAAAGAATAAATTCGGCGTTATTGATGATTTAGAGATCCCTCCTCATTTATTGGAGCAGCTTCGCGATCGTGTAACAGGTGAGCCTTCAATTAACTGGCATGTACAACTGCACCGCCGACGATCTGTTCAGTCGCTCCAAATGGCATTTTGTACGTCAAGTCCACGGTACGCAAGGGCCTTCTCGGAAGGATGCTGTCAGAGTTGTTGGACACAAGAGTCATGGTAAAGCAGGCCATGAGACGTGTAGGAGGTGACAAGGCGGGTGACCCTTTTATGACTTGAGCTCCATCGTCTCACCATCCTGGCCCGTTTAGGCTCGTCGGAGAGTTCTGGATGCACGACAGCTCAGCCTGAAGTACATTGCGAACGTTACCTACGGTTACACGTCGGCGTCATTTTCAGGTCGGATGCCCGCTGTAGAGATCGCGGACAGCATTGTACAAAGCGGAAGGGAGACGCTTGAAAAGGTATTTGCCCAGGCATGTCTTGGTTCTTTTGCTAATTTGCGGCTCTCTAGGCCATTGAGACCATTGACGGGACCAAGAAATGGGGGGCCCGGGTATGAAAAACAGGCGCCCTTCACAATGATCTCACACTTTTTTTTTCAGGTCATGTATGGCGACACTGACAGCGTGTTTGTGTAAGCGAAGACTCTGCTTCCAGCTGTAGACTATCTTTTCAACAACGTCCAAGTAGATATCTACCTGGCAGAACCAAGGAGCAAGCATTTTCAATCGGGAATGAAATCGCTGAGACAATTACCGCCATGAACCCAGCTCCAGTCAAACTGAAATTCGAAAAAGTATGTGCCGGAACTTTCTCGTTATTTTGGCAACACTGAGTCAACCACTCTAAGGTGTATCTGCCATGTGTCCTCATGGCTAAAAAGCGATACGTTGGGTTTAAGTTCGAAAGCGTTGATGACACAGAGCCTGCATTCGACGCGAAAGGGATTGAGACCGTCCGACGCGACGGTGTCCTGGCCCAACGAAAAATGGTTGAAAATTGTTTAAAGTCTGTCAACGTTTCCTGGAGCTGAATAACGGTCTTATTTCTGAGGAAACCAGGATCCTGTTTCGAACACAAGATCTCAGTGAAGTCAAAGAATATTGCTGTAGATCGTGGATGAAACTGCTGGAAAACAAAGCCTCTGTCCAAGACTTTATCTTCGCTAAGGAAGTCAGAATGGGGACGTATAGGTAAACTACCTTCGTCCTGTCATGGTGTGCGTTCTGGCTGAAAGACATGCATCTTCTAGTGACAAGGGCCCTCCTCCTCCAGGCGTGATGGTGGCTGCTCGTCGGGCGGCTCTCGACCCACACGATGAACCACAGTATGGCGATCGAATTCCCTATGTCATAGCACAGAGCACTACCGGCGTACGACTTGTTGATCGAGCCATGGATCCTCTAGAATTCATGAACAACAGGTAAATCGCCTATGATATTTCTCAATTTCATACTCACATGGGCAGTCAAATCCAATTAGATGCCATGTACTATATTACCCGGGTCTTGATTCCACCGTTGGAACGAATTTTCAACCTCATGGGGGCCGATGTAAAACAGTGGTTTAACGAGATACCGAGATTCTCAGTGCCAGAACTGGTTTCGCCACGGAAAGCAAAAGCCATCAAGCCGACCACCGAATATCCCCAAAGTCCCGATAGGATGTACATCGGAGAACATTTCCTAATCACTCAATGCCTTTCCTGTGGAGATCTAGCACCACAAAGTGAGTGGCAATTCTTCTCGAAATGACTTGTGCACCAAAGCTATCTTCAGGCCTCTGCAACGATTGCATCTTGGCTCCACGAGAAACCATGGCGAATTTGCACTATCGAATACGACGGCAAGAACAACGCCTGGCAAACAGCAATCGAATCTGCTTGGAATGTACAGGTTCAGCGCCAAACGAACCTGTACACTGTATTTCTTTAGATTGCCCTTGGTTCTATGCGAGGCGTAAAGCTGAGGCAAGAACGGAGCTGTCCCCTCTCTTTGAAGAGCTGTTAGAAGGGCTAGAGGAGTTGGAAATGGATGGAGAAAGCGAAGGGAATCAGTCCGAAGGGGAAGCATGGATGGATTATCCTGCATACGGCGACGATTCGCCATATGCCTCTGACAACCTCGTAGATAGCGATCTCGAAATGGAATAGTGTAACAGAAAGACGATCTGGACAACATGCATGGATTGCGGAAACAGTGGCTATTATCCACGAGGGGTTACACGGTTTGGTATGCTCCTGGTGCTGTTTGCTCGGTAGGAGGTGCAGGGCGTTGGCTAGCTGGTGCAGGTCTCGCATTTCGAACGAAAGTATCATCGTCGACTGTTTGGTAACCCTCTCTTGCATTAGAAGTAAAGCCACCTGGCATTGACCAAACTAGGGCGAACGTCAGATACAGAAAAGATTATCGCAGAGCTCTTTTTTAAAGGGAACTGACGAGTCGGACCGCTCAAGTTATTGGAACCCAAACCCAGTTGACCACCGCGCTGGCGGACAGCGTTTGCAAAGGCGAGGAATGTTGGCAACTGTTTACAATTGTGGTTAGTAGAAGTGCAACCTGGGCTTTCCAAAACCAACGAACCTTTAGAAGCAGTAAACAGATGTTGAGAAATTTGAAGAAGCCATGCTGGTGGTTCTTAATCATCCAAACTGTGTCGAAGAGTACCGAGGCACCAAGGAGGTCAGTGAACTTAAGAGCGTAGGAAGGGGTGAAGTCGTCAGTGTTGCTCATGAAGCCCTAAGCTTGATCACTTACGGTCTGCAATGACTGGGCCGCTTCCGTGGTCTCTTGAGCGTAGCAGCCAAAGAGGAAAAGCGGGAAATTGTATGAAGGAGACACCCCGAGTGAAATTAGAAAAGAGAGCCCCTACAAAACGCATTTGAATAACGCAAGTTTAGTGAAGGGAGATCAATGACGCTACGTACCGTTCCTGCTAATACGAGCTTGGATGGATCCAGAGTCTGTATGAAATCCATTCTGCAGATTCAGAAACGAGCGACAGAGGGTGTATGCTGAGAGTGGTGGGTGATAACCGCAGTCTGGCCGCAGTCAAGTGTGAAGCGAGAGCAGGGCCCACTTATGATGATTGTGGTTTCACTGCGGCGATTCCGGGCCGCAATGATCTGAAACCAGTCGCTCGGCCAGCTCTTCAATTGCTTCAACCCATTGAACATTTCTATGACCACCTTTGATACAATCCACCCTGCAGACAGTCTGGAGTTTTGTCCAACTAATGGTTTTCACGATCTCTTCGTATGTGGAACATACAAGCTCCTCGACCAAGAACCATCCTCCAAAGTACCTCAAACACGAACAGGACAATGCCTAGTATTTCGAGTAATTACAGACAACGAGACGCCGTCGTTGTAAGTCCTTGCTTGCCTGCGCTGTATGATCTCTTTCAAAGTTAGCCAGCCAAAAATTGCAGGTGGTTGATCTGCCTGCTATTCCTGACATGAAATGGTATTGCCAGATTTTCAGGAAGGCGTCTATCTAATTATGCTCGCAAGGTGCCATCGATTGAACGCTCTTCCACTATTAGCCGTCGCAGATTCGGAGGGCAATATCACGCTTTATGAATGGCGAGAGGTTAATCGACGTTGCTTGAGTGTCTTTGCTACGAGCCTTCGGTTTTTGAGATAACATTCTGCAGCACTCTCTTGAACGAACCGATTCCGTTGTGTGCGCGACCCCGGATCTCTTGTGTCTTTCTCTGGATTGGTCAAATCGGCGCACAGGTGGAAGGCAACCTTTGGTCTATCTTACCCGACCGATGTCGCAACTGATAATGTCTTCAGCGCACCTGGGTCCCTTGTAGCGTCACTCTCAAATGGAAATCTTTGCCTCCTCACTGCAGCCCAGGGTTCAGGATTGTCTGTGCAAGAAACCTGGCATGCTCATGACTACGAACCCTGGATCGCGGCTTGGAATTATTGGGACACCAATGTGATATATTCAGGTCTACAACCCCATCGCACTTCGTGTACTTCGACTGACTGGAAGTTCGTAAAGGTGGCGACGACTTGAAATTGAAGGCCTGGGATATCCGACAAGGTTTCACCCAGCCGACGCTGGTCAACAAAAGGTAGATGCTCCCTCTCACCCAAAATCTCTCGTCTAACACAGGACAGATTTGAAGCTGGTGTTACAACCATACAAAGCCATCCTCATGTTGAGCATCTCTTTGCAGTGGGAAGGTGAGCACTCTTTTACTCTTTGATGCCTCCTACTCCGCACGTTTTTTCTGTGTACTGAACGATCAATTCCGGCAGTTACGACAATACCGTTCGTCTATTCGACGCACGTAATCCACTGATCGTTCTGGCACAAGTAGATGTCGGAGGAGGTGCCTGGCGAGTGAAGTGGCACCCCTCAGGTAGTCGTAAACAGGATCTGCTGGTGGCGTGCATGCACGACGGTTTCAAAGTCGTGAAGTTCAGCGGGATAGGGAGCAATTCATTCGACGAGGATGCTGCTATCATCAAACGTTGCGACGACCACAAATCGCTTGCATATGGAGCTGATTGGTCGTACGATTCCGCCTTGAGGTCGCAAGAGACGCTAATTGGGTGTTGCTCTTTTTATGACCATAAGATGAGCTTGTGGAGCGCGTAGCGGAGACAGCATTGAAGGGTCACCCGTGTGTGCAAATGTTGTAACTTAGACAAATGAGATGTGAACGTAAAATCCGTGAACACAACATCAGGTTCATGAGGCCTTGAAGGATATAATCATTAAATAGTGCGGTAGAGCAACGGACTATCCGTAATTTGAGGGGTATCTATTCAATTGTCGTCTTTTCCAGAATCGATAACAATAGAAGGGGTGGGTGGAAAGCTGGGTGTTGGAGGTACACTGGGATCTCTTCTCCGTCGTTTCCAGAACCCTGCATTTGGTCCGTTTGTCACAAACGCTAGTGTCCAACGTGATAGACCGCGTAAAGAGTCTGGTCGGTGGGCAGCTGCCGTCAGCAATGACGAGATGGAGAGGATGAAAACGAGCCTGCATACAAAAACCACATGAGTACGCACTAGAGGCATATCAGGAAGAAAGGACACACCGCTCGGCAAGCCTGATAGCTCTATTGCCGCTCTTGACCAGTGCATCTGGTAGACATGTCCTAATTGCCCTAGGAAGAACGTAGAGAGCCATCTCTCCTCGTCGTCGGCCATTCTCGATCCAGATGCTGCTACCACAAGCAAGGCAGCCGGCCATGATGCAGCCGTATGGACTATCCCAGAAATCGTGCGAGACGAACGGGAAGAGTTTCGCGAGGACGAGGGTACGCGTCAAACAGACCGTATACCAATAAAACCCTATGAAAGAAGAGAGGAAAGCGGCACTGCGCAGGGAGCCAAACAAGGTCTCGAATAGCCTATGCGGTCTTAGAAGTGTTTGTGGGCGAGTGAGGAGCACAGGAAGGAAATGTACCTGGGGAGATAATAAGCATGTGCTAGAAGATGGGAAGAGAATAACTTACGGGAAGGTAGATCGCAGTGGCTTCAAAGAAACCTTTGGCCATCCTCAGACTTGCATTCGCTGTACAGCTCTCCCTCAATCCCAGGCTTGAGCCGACTTGTCCATGGATAACTTCACAAGGAATGCCTGCGACTCCTGGTCGACTAGTCACGCCAAGTTTCTTCCAAGCCTCATTTGCGATTGCGCCACCATAGGCAGGCAGGGCATGAGGGTCACCCCATGAAGCAGGAAGCCCAAGATCTGTTGCACCGCTCTGGAGGACGGTGGCGTGGTGGGCTGAGCCAGTTTTATAGGACCATTGACGAGTTCGAATAAGTTGCAGGGTCTCGATTATCCGACCGTCTAGATTGGCAAGGGTGTTGATCCACTTCACATATGATCGAGGCAGTCTGTAGACAGGGGTTAATTAAAGGATGCATGAGGTTGGAATAGGACCGGACCTATGAGGTTCATAGAAGAAACACCACATTATTCTGCAGGGTCCAAAATGTGAGCATGAGATTCAAAGCGAGCGCACGGTTCAAAACACCAAGCTAGGATATACCTTGCACTGCAAGCCCAGAACACAAACGCATCCACCTTAGACGTCATGCTCTGCCAGGATTTGTTCTCTAGCTTTATCTTCTCCCTCTGTAGTTTAGCGTGCAGCTGGGATTCTACTGCAAGGTGTTTCCGATCTTTCTTCAAACCAGGAACCGGGGTTGTCTTGTGCAAAATGAAAGATTGTACGATGGAGTCTATTGCGCGGACGAGGAGAAGCAGGGTGAGGTCGAGGGTAGGCGAAGTGAGATCTCGGGGAAGGGGTTTGCCACGCGCAGCGGCTGCTACTCGTTTTAGCCGTGCGGTGCGTTGCCTGCCTACTTGAAGGAGAAGAATACCGATAGACGAGGAGAGGACATTGGAAATGAACGTCTCTTGCTCCGGAGTTAACGCCGCGAGGTATTTCGTGACACGCCGGAAAAGCTGCTGTACCAACCTCCCAAGAGATTCAGGTTGCTGGTCCCCAGATGATCGGTGAACGTCTTCATCCTTGTCTTGTCGGTCGTACACGACGCGCCAGAGCGGCCAGGACCGCTTCAATGCAGCCCCACCCGCAACAGCCAGCGTGACGGTGAAGGCAAAGCCATCGTGTCCTAGGTCGCGTCGTAATATGCGCCCCAGGTCCGGGAGGTTCTTGCTTCGGGCTTTCGGTACGATGAGGGCGGTGATGAACGGAATGAGCGAGGGCCCAAGCGACAGGGAAACGGCGAGGGCGTAGGTGCGCAGGGCTATCTGTGCTGGGTGGGTAGGTTCATCGGAGAGCGAAGGGATGCGGTCCAACCACGACGAGCGGTTTCTGACCATGGCATGAGTTCAAGGAAAGGATGACCGCGCCCGAGGCGTTCTCCAATATCTTTATCGCTGCTGCTGGATGACGGCAAGATCATGTCACCGTCAATCACCAAACTCATGTGATTACGCGTTTGACTTGCATTTGACATCCGCTGGAAAACCGCAGGGTAAGAGTGATTTGAAATACATAGTCATTAATTTTACTACGTTCGAAAGCATCGTGAATGAGAGGAAAGAGAGATAAAAGCGAGAACGAGAGTGCGCGAAATATGATTACGAGTCCGAGGATGAGGAAGACGATGACATGACATGTGTATACGAATTCTGGTATATGGTGAGTGAGATGAAAAGTGGGTATAAGTGATGGAACGAATGGGCTATGCGGCTGCCAGGGATCGTTTGGAGGGGCTTTCGGAACCCAGCCGGGCAGCTGACGCGCTGGTTGTCAGCAATTTGTCTGCGCCATCCAGTTCTCCTAGACCGCTCGCATAACTCCAAAATTCGACTTCTGTCGAGCCGAATCCAATCCCAAGACCGATGTTCACTTCAGGAAGAAGACCGGCGTGACCAAGCAACTTCAGGAACTGAGCCCGCGAGTCTGGGAACACGAAGAGATGAAGGATTTGCTGACCCTATCGACCAAGAGGTCAGCGAACAGTAAACGTTTGGAAGAAATGACACGTACATGCTCGCGGAGAACGGCTGTAACGTGATGCTTGGGGACCATTGCAATAGTTTCTCTAGATAGGATATCGGCGGCTACAACTTCAGAAGGTAAAGGCTCGTCGTCTTCTGTCCATTGTTTCTCCCTTCTCCTGGCGGGTTCATCGTCGACAAATTTGTCTTTATGTTCGGGGTGATGGAAACCGAGCCAAAGGCGCCACAGGTCCAATTTACGACCGTCTCGACCAATGCGCTTCATGACGGCGCGACAGCGCTGCCAGTCCGCCTCAACGTCACCTCCGAGCCATACGTCATCAGGGTCGAGTTGTGTCCATTGGTCGGTAACGTTTGTACCACCCGTTCCAATGGAAGGCGGGAACGATGAGGCCATGGAGTGACGATGCCTCTTGGGTTCTGGGGCTTTGAAACTGGTCGTCGATGGCGTTTCGAAACCATCGTTGTCTGCCTTGCGTGGCTTGGCAGGGCGGACCATAAGACGAATCCAGCGACGCCTCCTGACCCAACCACCGGCGTTGAATGAGCCAACCTGGGCACGCCAGTTGTGTTGCCGGAACATCCAGTTGTACTCGAAGCCGTCGTACTGGACTTCTCCTGAATCGGAGCGCATGTCTATCATCCAACAGCGAGATACCCAGCGCCAATTTCCGTCAGGAAGCGGATAGTTTTCGAGAGAAATAGGTGGTTGCTTTGAGCGTTTGAGAGAAGCGTTTGGAAGCGTGAACGGGGAGGGATCGGAAGGTAAAAGAGATAGACTGGAATAATGTGGGATCGAGAAAACGGTCGCCCTGGGTGCAAAGGTGAGAAAAAAAGGTAGATGGAGTCGAAGTTACTCACGTTCTCT